GCGATATTGCACGACCGGCCACCACCAACGGAAGTACTAGGACGCATGTGAGGAAACCCTCCCGTCCAGATCCTTATATGAGGCCCCCTGCACGGACGTCGACACCAGCAACCTGGGGTCCCTCTGCCCCGTCTACGCCGGAAATTGGAAGCGGAACCCAGGAAGAGAGACAGGCACTAGTGCAGGCAAAGAAAAGGGAAGCCCTATTATTAGCAGACACGGGCCCGGCTTGGAGTACAACCCCCCGACACAAACGGCGGGATTCCAGCGATCGGACGGGTCATTCGAATATTGATCCTGACCTCGACGAGGATGCCTTAGCTTATATACATCATGTACAGTCCACAGATACCATTACCGGTGTTACGATACGATATGGATGCCAGCCCGCGGTATTCCGAAAGGCCAACGGCTTCTGGCCTAGCGATAGCATTCAAGGCCGAAAAACGGTCCTTCTGCCGGTTGATTCGTGCTCGGTCAAAGGACGGCCCATCCGGCCTAGAATGGGAGAGGACCTTCTAGGAGATGGTCGCCAGGAAGGCGAATCTTTGGAGGATATGAACGGCAGCTCAATAGCACCAACTCCATCGTCTACGTCTGCCGAGGGGGGAACATCTGCGTCTCCTGCGGCAGAGATTGAAGGTGACCGAATATGGAGGCACGAGTCGTGGGTACATATCGAGGGCTTTCCTGCGCCGGTTGAAATTGGCCGCGTCCCCCGCAGAGCATTGGGGTTCTTCCCACGAACACGGCGGAAATCGGTTTCGTATTCGGACTCGGTGTCGTCTCCATTATCTGGACGAGGCACAACCGCTCCCTCATCGCCTTCGCCAATCGAATCGGGATTTGCTCAGCCAGTCATTCCCAAATGGAGTCGCCCGCACGCCGATTCGTCTGCGTCACGTACCTCTTCCAAAGGCAAGCCGGGCATTCGCCATCAACGCCAACGCAGCAACATCCAATTGTCGGGACCTGGCGTCGGCACTCTCGACCATGATTCGAATGCACCGGGCCCCGCCATGGACGGACTTAGCAAATTCTTTGCACAGCATATGCCGAATCTTGCGCCCGTGGCTCGCCCACCGAATTTCGAAAGCTCGTCGGAAAGTGTGTCGACGGCGGCCGCGAACACACCAACCAGCCTGGACAACCTTGGCGGAGCAGTCGAGTCATGGGTCAGGAAAATGACGACTCGAGCCAAGGCCAGCTTGAATGAACTGCAGCAGACGCCTGGCCCGGTAACCCATGACCCCGCACAGGCCATTGGACGACGCGGCAACGGCGATCTCATCGAGTTGAACGACGGGATGGAGTCTCGCAGCTCGTCGAATGCGATCTCCGAGCCTCGGTGGAGACCCGATTTGCTACGGTCGGGATCAAGTCTTCACGAAGGAACAGCGTTGCGGGGACGTTTCCTCAGCCCTTCACCTGGGACGAGCCGGACTCGTTCTGGAGGGGACAGGGCGAAAGATGATTGATGGGCAAATACGCTCCCGAGCGCGCCATCTCCGTGGCTCGAAGCTTGCTCCTTGATTTGTTGTTTCATAATACTTATTTTTGCTCTTTCGCCCGAGTGCAGTGGTGGCTGCATGTCGGGCAGGTATTTAACTTGGGCGATACCAACTACACGTGCACTTGAAGCATAGCACGGCGCGACGGGGATGCGTCGTCTTATGACTATAATTGATGTGGCCGACTGACTGTTTGGTGTTAGGGATCTTGTGCTAGTCTTGGTTTTCTGTATTTAGAAGAGAGTGCCGGTGGCATTGTGATTGATATAACCTAGAGCAATGCATGTCTCCATTCGCATCCTCATCGGCCATCCCTATGCCCTGATGGTGCTGACGGGTGAGATGTGGTGATAGCGAGAATAATATTCTGTGTATAGTCTGTCTATCCTCCTTGTGCACTGCAAGTCAGCCGATCATGATCATCCTCACTCAACCCTCCACTTTTGATCTTTATCCGAGACAAACTACACCCATCTCAATTTCAGCCCGAGTCCAAATCGTCCACAAATTCCCCACAGCCAGGGTACCAACCAGGGTCTATTTTCCGCCGGAGAAACTAGCACTTAGCTCCTCACTAGGTCAGCTCATCGCGTCTTGGCTCCTCATCACCAACTTTCCACCTATAATCTGCATCGACATGCTGCAAAGCCACGACTGCTGCTGGCAGCTGCATGCACCCCAACATTAACCCCGCAAGATACATCCATCCCTGAGTCAATCAAGCTTGATTGTCTGTTACTCCTTCGGAGATACTAACCATGAGCAGTCAGATTATCATCCCAGATGACATCAATCCCACTGGTATACAATCCCATCCTGCTCTATACAATAGGACGCCCCACGTCCATGTAAGAAACAGACTAGCTTTGCTCGGCGTTAATCAATTATGATTGCGAGTTTCACTTCCTTATTCATGTACTATTATTTTTCATCTCTCGGAGAATTAATTCAGCTGCTCATTGCCACCCCTAGGTCTCTAATAAAGGTCAGCATTACTCGTCTCGTAGCTAGCTGGCTGGCTACCTCCCCCTCCAGTGACTGAGTCGATTGTCAGGCCAGCAAAGTAGCAGCCATGGCGAGCGCACTCCTCTGGCTCTCCCTGCTAGGTAGTAGCGCCCTATCTTCCGCTCTAGACACCAGTAATACCCCTACCATTAAGAGAGCAGACACAGGCAGCAACAACAACACCTCCTCCTCCTCAATCCCAACCGCCACTCTCAACAACACCGTCTTCGTCGGCCGTTCCCTGCCCGAATTCGAGCAAGAGCTGTTCCTAGGTATCAAGTTCGCAGACGAGCCCGTGCGATTCACCCCCTCGACGTTGAAGACTGCCTATCGCGCCAACGACAGCGACAACGGGGTATACGATGCTTCCTCAGCATCAGGGCTGCAGACTTCCTCGGGGACAGTGCTGTACAACGCCACCGAGTATGGATATGATTGTCCCGGGTATGGATCCGACGAGACAGAGCTGGCGGAGGAGGGATATGCGCGGTTCGACGAGAACTGTATGAATCTGAATGTCATTCGGCCCAAGAGGGACAATGAGGATGAGTTGTTGCCGGTTATGATTTGGATCTTTGGTGGAGGTTGGGTGCAGGGTGCGACTGCTGATCCTAGGTATGATCTATATTTCGTGCTTGTTGTGTGATTAATGCTGATGATGGGCAAGGTATAATATGAGTTACATCGTTCGCCAGGGTGCGTTGAACGATAAACCCGTCTTGGGCGTCTCGATCAATTACCGTGTGGCTGCGTTTGGATTCCTTGACTCTGTTGAGGTCATGGTGCGCTACTACCATCACCCTTAAGTATATGAGTCCAGCTGACATGACATCTGTAGGAATCTGGCAACACGAACCTAGGACTGCGTGACCAGCGCGTCGCCATGCATTGGGTTAAGCAGAATATCAAGGCGTTCGGTGGTGACCCGGACAAGATTACCATCTGGGGAGAATCAGCGTGAGTATACCCATGTTCCATATAGACAGCGCATCTAACATCCATGAATAGTGGCGCCTACAGCGTCGGAGCCCACCTCGTCACCAACGACGGCGACAACGAGGGTCTATTCCGAGCCGGTAAGCACCCTCACCATCCTCCCATATACTATCTCATCTGCTAACCAACATACTACTAGCCATCATGGAATCCGGCAACGCCGTCGGACCCCCATACAACGGCACAGACTGGTACCAGCCGATGTACGACCAGATCGTGAACGCGACCAAGTATGCCCCCATCCCCTGAGACAACACCCATAGCCCGAATATCAGCGATTATACTAAATAAATCCAGCTGCACCACCTCGTCCAACACCCTCCAATGCCTCCGCGAAGTCCCCTTCTCCACCTTCTACACGGCCGCCAACCTCGGCCTGGAATGGTTCGCCACCATCGACGGCACCTTCATCAAAGAATACCCTCAAATCAGCTACACGGAGGGCCGCTTCGCCAAAGTCCCCATCCTCCACGGGACTAACACCGACGAGGGCGTCAGTTTCGGTACATCAGGCGTGAACACTGATGCTGAAGCTATTCAGCAGTTGACAGGTGAGGCCTCTCCAATCTCCAAGATATACCTAGTAGTATGATACTGATATGGAATGATGATGGTATAGCATCCAAACGCTGGGTCCTAAACGAAACCCAAGCCACGACCCTCCTCTCCCACTACCCCAACATCTCCGCCCTCGGCTGTCCCTACGGATGGGGCAACACGACGTGGCCGAAACTCGGATATGAGTATAAACGCTACGAGTCGATGGCGGGTGATCTATGCATGGTTGCTCCGAGGAGATTGCTCTCCCAGAAGATGAAGGAGTATGAGCAGCAGCAGGTATTTGCGTATCGGTGGGATGTGGCTGCGTTGAATGATTCGAGTACTATTGGGGTGGCGCATTTTGCGGAGGTAATACTATCCCTTGCCTCCGTTTCCCCCCTTAAATTGATTTCATATGGTTTGGCGACTGATGATGGTGTGTGTTGGGATGTATAGATTCCATTTGTGTTCGCCAACCCCGTGCAGAATATCACTCCGTTGGGAAGTGATCCATCGAGATTGGAATTGGGTAATTTGGCCGCGAGGATGTGGACGGCTTTTGTGTCGGATTTGGATCCGAATGGACATGGTGGTATGCTTCCCTTTTTACTCCCCTCTCCTTCGTATATGTCCTTCGTGGTAAGGTAGAGTTGATACTGACAATGGTGACAGTCTCCGGTATCCCCACCTGGCCGAAATACAACCTCTCTGATCCTCAGGACTTTGTGTTCCGGGTACCAAGGAATGAGAGTTACGTGGAGAAGGATACGTTCCGGACGGAGGGGATTGATTATATTAATACGATTGTACGGTGAGCAGAGTATTATCAGCATGTATATAGGGTAGATACTACTATATCAGGGATTAGAACTACATTGATAATAATCCATTCTCGACTGATCGATTGTATTGATCTAGTAAGTCAAATGTAAAATCGACAAAAAGCCGCCGTTTTTATCCATTTATTTGATTGATTGCAACCCTGCTACACTATATGAATGAATAATAATATAGCGGGTTTAGTTGATGCCGAGCAGCTCAACCTCGCTATATGAGATATCAGTATTCCTTTCTTCAATGACAATGGGGAAAAATGATAAGAGGGTAGGTAGATAGAAGGTGACTTACAAAACGAGAGTCGAGTTAGCGGGGATCAAGCCAGGGAAACCCCGAGAGCCGTAGCCGTAGTCACTGTACAGAATATATTAGAAAAGACCTCATATTACTGACTTTTGCGTATAAATGTCCAATCCGGGGGATAGAAAAATCCCAAGAGAGAGAGAGAGAAAAAGAGGGAGGAAACTCACGGAGAAATAGTCAGGATGGCCTTCTCGCCAACGCTCATCTGGGGGACGGCCTCATCCCAGCCTGGATTGATTCATGAATTAGTTGATCATTTCTCAATAATAATAATAATAATAATAATAATAATAAAGGGCATAGATAGAGGCGATGAACTTACCCTTGATAAGACCACCAACACCGATCTGGGTCTTGAAGGGACCGCGACCACGGGAGCTGTCGAACCTGTTGATTTCATCAAATTAGTATGATGTCAGAACACAGCTATACTGTAAAGTATAGCCAGCCACACTGCTATAATATATAATATGAAGGGATGGATCAAAGAGGTGGGAAAGAGAGAGAGAGAGAGAGAGAGAGAGAAGGGGAAAAGGTAGAAAAACGTACTGCTTGCCCATGTTGTTAGGCTGAGACTCATCATACAGACAACCAGTGTAGTGCATGGAGATCTGTTGACCGGGCTTGGGGAACTGCTGGCCGTTGCCAGGGGAGATGATGGTCTTGGTGACACCCATTGTGATAATTGTGTATTTTCAGATCATGAAATTTGATGGAGAGAGGAGGGGGAAATAGAGAAGAAGAAAAGGTGAAGCAGAAATGATGGAAAACGAAGAAGAATCGGGCCAAGTGGGGGGCGGGGGGTCAGTTGGTTGATTTATACTTTGGATTTTATTTCAGGGCGAGACCAATTTCTACTGAAATTGATTACTTTGGGTTGGCGGTGTATCATTTACTGCTACTACTGCTAATATTATTATTACTACTTTACAAGAAGAGGGGAGGAGGGGGGCAAAAAAAGGATAAGGTTTGATATATTGGGGGAAAGAAAGGGCATGCGATGATGATTGACTGATGATGATGGAAGATTCGCGCCGCCTGTGTGGGTTCGCTTGGCGCGGAAAACTCCAGTTAAGTTACGTTACTACTTCCCTACTTATTAATTGCCTTCTCGCTGTGGCCTCATTGCCCCCCGTCTGCAGGTCTGCAGCTAAAAAGTGCTGTCCCAAATGGAAGTGCTACTTGGATAGTACTGGCTGCCGCCTGTGCCGCCTGTTTTATTTATTATTTTTCTACTTGTCTACTGCTTGATTTGATTGTCTGCTCTACTAGTTAGTATTGTACTTAGCTGGCTGGCTGGCCGCTCATCGACCACTACTTCACCAGTAATTAATCCATCAACATCATCAATCATCCACGTTTATTTCTTCCCGTGTGATATCTCAGATGGGGAAAAGCCAAAAAAACACTAAATCTAACCAACTGTCAATGCATGCAACCCCAATCCCCATGCATGTGATGCATCCTGTCAACTCCCCTCCCCTCATATTATTCCTGACTTCGTGGCTCTGCTCCATCCTTACCCCCAAAACGACATCTTCTTCACCTCCTCCAACGACACCTCCTTGATCTGCGTCCTCGGAAACCGTGCATCAACGGGCTCATCATCATCATCACCACCACCACCCTCCCCCAATCCCAGATAATGCAGCTTTGACACACCCACCTGCTCCAAGAACGGCACCACGCGATGGAAATTCAGCCCAACCTGCTCCAATCCATGACTATCATCCGACAGACAAAACCTGCCCCCGCGAGCCAGAAATTCCTGACAAATCTCCCCATTCGGATACGGCTCCTTCATGCCCTTCCTCAACGCTGCCGAATTCACCTCCAACAATCCCCCGTATCCCGCCACGTAGTCCAAATTCCGTAGAATCTTCTCCCAGACCCGAGGATACTGCTGAAAGCTCCGATCGGGATCATCACTCTTCAACCGGATCAGATCAAAATGCCCTACTACTACCGGCTTCACTTGCTTCAGCATATCCAACTGCTCGTCAAAGTATGCCTCGAAGAGCAACTCGTCTGTCCCGCCGGCTAGCGTACGCGCTTTCTCGTACAGTGGTCGGTCATAGTCAATAGGGACGGTCAGCGTATGGTGCACGGAACCCATGAAGAACTCGAAGGGGTGCCGCGATAGAGACTCCTCGATTAGCTGTCGCGAGCCCGGCCGGATCCAGTCGATCTCGAACCCGATGAGGATGTTGATTTGATCGGCGTATTTGGATCGGAGGCGCGTGGCTTCGGCGAAGTAGGCTGCTTCGTTGGCTACGTGGCTGGATTCGGTGTCGCCGGCTTCGATCTGGGTTGGTTAGTTAATTAAATGGCTATAGGGTACGATAAGCCGGTGTTTCTAAGATAGAGAGTACCTCTTCTGGGTAGAAATCTTCTTCATGGCGGGGCATGTGTTCAGTCAGGCAGAAGGTGTGGAATTTCTTGGAGATGGCCAGCTGGATGATTTCTTCCAGGTTGTCTTTGGCGTGACCAGGGCAGAATTGCCCGGAGTGGCTGTGATGAGAGAAGGGCATCTGGTGAGATATATCAGTAGGTGAAGTAGACTTAGAGGGTAGATGTTGTGATTGAAGTCGTGATATGATGCGATGAGTATCACTTACCGCGGCCGGTTACCCCGCGATGGAGGGGTTGCTGTTGTTGTTGCTGGTATATAAGGGAAAGCAAGCCGGAGCTCGTGAGTGTCAGGCTGATTATAACTGGTCAGCCACTGACAAACTCGCTTAAACGTGAACCTGAACTAGGAGGTGGTGAAGAGGACCGTGTGAAGAAGCAGGAGTTGTTGCGGCGAGTCAATCTAGACGAATGTTCTACTCGACCGGCAGCTCCGCCAGCATCTCCGATTCCAGATACGAGATGACGATCACGCTGTCTACAGAATATATTCCAATATTTATGCGACTTATTATGCATCCATTACTATTGTACTCTAGTATACTTCTATTGACACAAAGCTAGCCAGCTAGCTCTCCCACATGCCCCCTCCTACCAAGCAGGCCAATTTTCACACTTCCATCCAACTATTACCCCATCACAGCTATAGCCACGATTCAACCGTCTCAGCATCACATTGAACTGTTCGAATCCAGTCCCCGTCTAGTATCTTCCCTATATCCTCCGCATGAAAACCCTCATGAAGACCCATATACTCCTAGAAGGATAAATCTCACCCCGCCGCCACCACCATAGCAACCACATACTCCCCATCATGCGATATGGACAACTTCCCTACCCTCCCAGCCTCATCCCCATCTCCATCTAAATACACTACCTCCGGCCTTCCCCCCTCCTCCCCCACCGTAACCACCACATCCTTCCAGCTAATATGCGCCGCGCCACGGGGCGCCGCTTTCCGCGCTGCCTCTTTGGCCGCGAACCGGCCCGCGAGCCACCGCGTCATGTCGGGGGATATACTTATGCTAGGAGTAGTTGGCAATTGGGAGGGTATTGGAGGGAGGGAGAAGCGGGTGCGAAAGTCTTGTTGTTCGCGGGCGTGGAGAATGCGGTGCGTGAAACGGGTGAGGTAGTTGGGGCGGGCGAGGAGGCGGGTTATTCGCGGGAGGTGGACGATGTCGGTGCCGATGTTGAGGGCGAAGGGGAAGGGGGTTGGTTTCATGGTGGTTGTGTTCGTTGGGTGGGTTGGTGGGAGTGGTCAAGTTGTGGGTTGGTTGGTTGGGATGTTATTGTGAAAGGTTGGATATGGTCAGGTGACTGGTTGGCTGTGTGACTGGTAGGTATTGAGTAATTGGTGGGTGTGGTTACTACAGGCACATATTGTAAGAATCTATAAACCAGGTAGTCATCGTAGTGGCCAGTCGTGTTTATTCCCAGCCAGTACTGGATACTCTCTTGGTTGTAGTGATCTGCTGGCTGTTACACGCATGCTGCTTACTTCTACACCGATATGCACCTCGCTGTAAAGATTTTACCAGTTCCAGACACGGCAAAGTTGGAGAACAAACGTTCACGGTGTATACTCTATATGTACAGATTCACACCTCCCGTGGGACCGCTAAACCGTCCCAGCAGGCAAGATTTCAAGGATACACACTGCCCGAGCCCGGCAGGGTAGAATCCAGACCACCCTGACCAACGACCCATTCGGTCATGGATATCATGCATCGAGCATCTTCAATTAGGTTGTTTGTCCTCGACCGATTCCCGTATTAAAGCGGTATTCTAATGGTCTTTCTTCTTCTCGTCTCCGTTCACTTGTTTCAAGAAGTCCCTGTAATAATCATTAGCTTGCGTTCCAGCACCCCAACCAGATCATGTAGTCTAGATTGCAGATATGTCCATCTGTCACAAAGGTGAAACGTACTGGATGAAGGTCTCCTCATCCTTGGAGGAAGCCTGAATGGGAGGGGTGGCAGGCTTGGGCTGGCCACCACCACGGGTAGCGAGACCAACACCGCCGAAGAGAGCACCGAGAACGCTCATGGCGAGCTATAAAGAGTCAAGTAGTCAGTGTGAGAGTTCCCAGGCAGCTGGCAGGGTATGCCATCGGCCGATGTTATGACCTCGGCAGAGATTGGTCCCGGGACAGGGGAGGGTTGCAACGGGGCGGCAACAGAGACGTACAACGTGGGAGCCGACCTGCTTGCCGGCGATCTGGTAGTAGACGACCATGATGACGGATTGGAGGAGAGAGTTCAATGGAGAACGGTCAGGTCAGAGCGGCGGATGTAGCGGTGCAATGCGAGGTCCAACGGGAATCAGTCGTTGGACGGCAGCGATGGAAGTTGCGGCTATGGTCCTTGCCTGTTTGGGACTGGCGTGCATGCTGAGTCAGAGATGAGTCAGGCACAACTCAAAGTGGTTTGACTGAGTCATTTATGACTCAGCACAAGTGTCACGCGAGCTAGCTTGCATTTCACGTGATGTCCCGAAAGTGCCCGACACGTGAGGGTCCCGGGAAGACATCACGGGATATGATGGCATGATTAGAGATGCCCTGAAAAGAAACGAAGAGTTGCGGTATCACAACACCTGCAGATGCAAATACAAAAGCTACAGCCAACGTCTGACCACCGAGTACTCTGTACACCGTAGAGGCTAACTTACCCACCAACCTGCTAAACTATCATAGTATGTGGCGGTGTCATCACAGCTCTCTCCACTAAACTTAGTTATAGTAGTAAAGCTCCCCCCATCCGAACCTCGGGGGAAGTGAAATCATCCCTGGACGAGACATGGAGAATTCCCCCGGCTATGAGCTGAGAGCTCCTGCTGGTCGGTTACTGCTGGCGGTTATTCTTGCAGCGAATCGCCGGTGCTATAAGATGCTGCCAGTCCATGGTTTCTTTCGGCCCTGGATTTGCTGGAGCTCCTGTTGACTTTCTTGCTGTCTGGATTTGAAGTCACCATCTCTTGCTTCTTCTTCTCCCCCCTTGATCTACTACTTACTACTAATCTCCATTCCTCGCCTCAAACTCCCTTCCACATTTTTTCCAGTCTGCTAGAAATTCATTCCTTCTTCTCTCTTCCCTTTCTCATCACCTCTCATCCAAGCGTTGCTCATTAATCCAACCCATCGCATTTTATCCCATCATCCTCATCATGTTCTGGGGAAAGCATCACGACGACACGCCCGAAACGGCCCAACAACCGCCCATTCCTCGCAAGAAGCTCCCTTCGCATTTGCAAAAACTAGCCGACAACGACGACAGTTTTTATGATGACATTTATTCCTCATAGTAAGTGTGACACTTTCTCTTTCCCAACTTTAGTGTCGATGTGTCGGGAGGAAAGAAAGGCACTCTTTCCATCTCTGCGTTGTCTCCCCGCATTTTCCGATCCCCGCAAGAAACCACCAAAAAAGCAACTCTCTCGCCCACACCACCATCCCCAACTTAACCATTATTAACCAAATAATTCTTACTACAGCTCCGTAGACTCCACCGAAACCCCCTACCGCTACGCCGGATACGCCAACCGACTCCGCACCGTCTTACTCTCCGCGCACCGCTACGTCGCCTATACCTCCGACATAGGCGAATCCTTTCGCCCCGTGGCGCACCCCTGGCTAGTGCGATCCGCCTACGGCATTTCCTGGACCTATCTAATCGGCGATGTCGCCCACGAAGGCTACAAAGCCTACCTCCGCAATCGCCGCGCCCTAGCGCCTCCCTGCGAGGCCTACAAAGATGCCAGCGACCTCACCCACGAGCAAGTCGCCAAGGGCATGGTAACCGGCAACATCGCCGGTTCCCTAACAGGCGGCAGCAGCAGCAGCGATACGCTGATGCCATGGCCCACGACTCACGTTCCCCTGGCTGAGGACTACCGCACCGTCATGGCCCAGCGCGCCGTGTTCCAGGGTATCGCCAGTATGGGTCTTCCGGCCTTTACCATCCACTCGGTGGTCAAGTACTCTGGGCGCATGCTGAAGAATTCCCGGAGTGTCTTTTTCCGTACTTGGGCGCCTATCGGGGTGAGTTTGTCCGGCTATCATATACTAATCCCGTAATAGAATTACTCCGCTAACACATGCAAATTACTACTATTACTAGCTCGGTCTCTCCGTCGTGCCTTTTCTCCCCTACCTATTCGACAAGCCCGTCGAAGAGGCCGTCGAATGGGCCTTCCATACCGGACTCCGTGCTTATGCCGGTGAAGATGCCGTCCGTCCGTTGCCTCAAGCCGTGAGGACGCCTCATGACGAGGAGACTTCTCTGAGCCACTTCCTTAAGGTCCAGGCTGAGAAGAATAACGGCGAGGTCATGGGCTACGACGCTAATGTCTCCTGGGAGAAGTATAAGGAGGAACGCCGTCGAGCGAAGGAGCAGCGCATGCAGGAGCGTGAGCAGCGCGGCGAGAGGGGCCCGTTGGCGTTGTTGGGTTTCGGGTCGAATTCGAAAGAGAAGAATGAGTGATTGAGTGATTGATTGATCCCTTCCTACACTTTCGTCCCAGTATCTCTTCATTTTAACTCTTCTTTTTCTCTTGCCCGGGGTTTTCTTATGTCATTGGCGATGGATGGATGGACGAAATGGTTCTTCTGACTTTCTTATCATTCGCCCTCTCTCCGCTGCATTCTTGTACTGTACATAATAATTGTCTCTTAGCGTTTTTCTGCTCTCCTTTCAGCCAAACATCATCAGTCATCATCATTACCACGAACCACATCATTCAAGGACCAGATCAAACACATTACCTGCTACTCATCGGTCCTCCGCATTTGCCTATCAACAGAAACAATCCCTACCAAGGTACCTGTTCAAAATACCTTCACACATCAAACCATCAGAGAACTACATCCTACATCTCTACAAAAGAATCAACCACATTTGAACATTTTCATTCAGCCCAACCCAACCTAGTCAGATTTAATCCAATCAGTTGAGCTAAGCTAAATAGCTAGCTTTGCATGCTTGCATTTCGATCTACTTGAAAAATAAGAAAAGAGAAATATACATCTGTACACATAGCGAGATAAAAAAGAACGGACAAAGAGGTAGAAAACAAAACGCGGGGTAGGAGAGTATAGCACGGCGTTCACTCGTCACAGCAGATACCTACCACCCAATCATTAAGAAAAGCGTAGGGGAGGGGGTGAGTTCAGTCAGGAGGAATAGGTAGTAGATCCATGCCTGAGGGAAGACGGATGGTCATAGGGAGAGGATGGAAGGAAAATATAAAAAATGGGATATGAAGAAGAGTCAAAAAGTGATTGCGGTGGCAGGTCTTTTTCTCTGTCACCATAAGGAGAGTAAGAATGGTATGGATGAAAAAGGTAGTGGAAAATGGCACAAAACGTGTGGGGAATAAGAAGAGGAGAAAAGAAAAAGGATATAATCAAACAAATGCCAGGGAAATGAGGACGCGATGGCATATCAAGATAAAATGTGAATACAGTTGGGAACAAATGGCAACATCAACAACGCTTGGTATGTATTCCACACAGATTAGGGGCCCAACGCCCCCAACAACCTCTCTAGAGCGTTGCGTCATGGCTTCGGCTTATATTTTGGCCCTGTCTAGTATTGAACAAAGTACACGATCCATGGTTTATAGGAGAAATACTGATGGGCTTAGTTCCAGCCGAGCGAGTTCTCGGCCATCACCGGCGCGCTGATCATCTGGGTGCGGCCAGTGCCCCGGCTGTTCTGGCTGTTGCGGGAGAGACGGCCACCTGCGCCGAAGACGGACCCAGCGCCGCGGCCTTCGCTCATCTGGTCGACGCTCGAGGGGGAGCGCTGGTGCAACTGGCGCTTCTTCCGGTACCGACGCGCAACCCAGAACATACCAGCACCATATGCTGCAGCACCGGCCACAGCACCACATCCGATACCAACGGCACTAGCCTTGGTGGTTCCAGATGAGCTGGTACCAGCATCGCTTTGGTCGTAGCCACCGTCACTGCCATCGCCGTTGCTGCTGCTGCTACCCGATCCACCGCTGTTGGACGAGCTGCCACTGGAAGAACCCGAGTCGCCCACCAGAAGAGGGATGGAAGGGTCGATCATGGCCATCAATGTCTTGACCGTCTCGTTGGGCTGCTCGTAGAGCCTCGAAATGGGGTTGTGGAGCATCTTCCTCAGGGTGTCAACGTCATCCGAAGGGATGTACATCAGCGCAACGGTAGCAATGTAGCCAGTGCTTGCCGAGTTGTCGTAGGGTTGGAGGTCGTACATGACCACGTCAGAGTCATTGAGCTGCAACGCGTAGCCCATACCCTCGGGAACATACATGAAGATCTGGGAGGAAGACAAGGGCGTTGTGGCCACAAAGCTCCAGCGCAGTTTGCCATTGAATCCGATTTGGACCAAGGTATCGTTGGCCGGCTGCTCGGGAAGACCACCAGAAGGAGAGATCGATCCAGGAAGCTGAGCAGCAGCAGTGCTGGTACTTGAATGGGTAGCTGTTCCCGTGCTCAGTGACGTAGTAGTCGTGGGCTCAACCACGAGAATGCTTGACGGCAGGTAGTTGTCAGAATCGGAGGTGGTCGTGGTCGGTTTGGGGGCTACAGTCGTCTCAGCGGCCGAGGTGGTCGTCGTGGTGGGTTGTGCGATAGGCGTGGGCGTTTCCTTGCTGGTAGTGGACGGGGCATAGGAAGGCGTCGCAGATACCAGACCCGATGACTCCTTGGTGGAAGTGATTAAGGGGATCGAAGAGGCAGGGCCAGAAATGGAGGTAAACTTGGATGCAGAGCTGGTGCCAATGGCAGAGCCTGAAACGGATCCAGAAGCAGATCCCGACACAGATCCAGATGCAGAGCCAGAAGCCGATGTAGGAATAACACCTGCAGATCCCGAAACGGATCCAGACGCCGACGTAGGGAACAGTCCTGCAGATCCAGATACAGATCCAGACACCGATGTAGGAATAACGCCTGCAGATCCAGAGGCGGATCCAGAAGCCAATGAAGATGCTGATTCAGAAGTGGTTCCGAAAAGACCCGTCGAGGCAGATCCTGAGACGGAAGCAGAAGCAGATTCAGTCGAAGTGGGCATGATGACAATGCCACCACTGATGATAGGAGTCGAGGCTCCCGCTGAGGAGCTCTGGGTTCCGCTGGAAGCCCCGGGAATAAGAGCCGTCGAAGTGGCCGAGATACCCAGACTAATAGCCGAAGGTTCCAAGGAAGCGCCTGAGGATGTGCCAAGTAGGGCAGAAACAATATTGACCGATCCAGAAGATGAGGCAGGCGTAACCACAGGAACACTAACGGAGATGGTAGGGAGGCTCAGAGGGAAAGCACTGGAGTCGGCAGACTCGCTTGCACTCTTGCTAGTAGCAGAGGCAGATCCGCTGGAAGTGGTGGTAGTAGGGAAGAGGTCCGAGAGGAAGCCGAGGACACCTCCTGACGATGAGGGGGTGGAAGAAGAAGAGGTCACATCTTCAGATGCAGACGGGATGAGGCTCGAGGACGCTGACCCAGTAGTCTGAGAGGCTGCGCCTGACGAGGTGGCCTGAACAGATGTAACCTGACTCGAGGAGCTCTGGGTTGAAGACTCGGACTTCGAAGTAGACTCAGCCAGAGGGACTTGAGCGGAAGAACTCTGGGCAGATGCGCTCTGGCTAGTGATAAGTTGACTCGAAGTCTCTGCCTTCGAGCTAGGAGTGGCAGATTCCGATTGCGAAGCCTCGGCCGAAGACTCCGTAGTGGAAGCAGGGGTCGAGGATGCTGGGCTGGAAGAGCTCTGAGTGGTGGAATCCTTAGCCGTAGAGCTCTCCGAAGTCGTCGAGCTATCGCTTGTAGAACTCTTGCTTGAGGTGACATCTACAATGACGCCAGCAGAGCTTGAAGCGGGAGCGGGGGTTGCAGAGCTGGACTCGGCTGGCGATGCGGTAGGACTGGCCGTGGAGGTTGCGCTGGTGCTGGTAGAGGACCCCAAGATACTTGAAATGAAGCTCTCCCAGGAGTCAGCCAACGAACTCTGGCTAGATGTAGTAGCTGCTGCTGCTGCCGCTGCGGCCGACGAAGAAGCTGTCTCTGCCGTCGTTGCTGCTGCTGACGAAGAAGCTGCCTCTGGTTTCGCTGACGATTCAGACGCGGAAGTGTGCTTCTCGGATTCGGATGTAGACTTCTGCTTTTCCGAGTCACTGGTAGTTGAATCCTTGTCGGACGTAGTCGCGCTCGCCGTCGAAGTAGCAGCAGCTGCCGCCGGGGTACTCTCTGCACGCTCAAGGGTAGAGCTAGTTGTCGTTGAAGCACCGGGAACGTTGGGTGCCGTGCCCACAATAGTATGCGTAACACCATTGGCATCCACGGAAATGGTTACAGGAACAACGATAACAGCAGGTGAAGGGTCAACGATCGGGCTTGTTTGTTCATTGTCCGAGGTGGGCGCTGAATCATGCGTACTCGTTTCGGACCTGGTTGTCAATTCGACAGGCGTAACGGGCTGGGAGGAACCAGGAACGGCGGAGCTAACCTCACGCGCTCCCAAGTCCCGGATCTGTCCTGCCTCCCGGGCTGCGACGAGCTCGAGGCCGCCCAAGGACAGGAACGCGGCCAACAACGAAGTCGTGGGCGCAATCATATTGATTCGAATGGTTGGGTAACAATAGCAGGCGATAAAGAGTGGTCAGGTGGTCGAAACGACCGTAACAATGCTGAAATGAATGGACAGAGCGAAGGCTCAGATGGGAACCTCCAAAACCAAATATCCCAAGGCACGGAGTATTCAAACGTCAAGGATCCAAGCCAGTCGTTGAGATTGCTGATGCATGGGGTCGGTGGTTGGAAATTCGAATAGTCTAACCCCCGGGCTATATAGATGTCCTATTCCCGGCGTTTTCGTATATCCACCTCTCCACGAATTGAACCACTTAAAGCGAACCTATCTCAATCGAAGGATGGCGCGAGCGATGGCGATATCCCGAATCGGTCGACGGCTGGGGATGCGATGACAACGGTCGGTAAGCTTCCTGGTCTATTGAGTCGAACAACAACCAGAAAGTTTGCAGATATCACAAAACTATATCACCAAAAAATCCCCGAATCAAAAGTATCGATAGCGACAAGCTCTAGTAGTGCACTGACAGCTGACGGATGGATGTGCGCGCACCAACGGCGGGAGTTCGGTATAAACAAAGCGGGTTCAAGGAGCGGCAGGGGGTGTGGTCGATGAGAAACCAACAGTAACCCCTCACGAAAAACTACCAGCAAACAAAACAATAACGAGTGTAGAGGCGGTAAGGAGCGAGCGACAAGATCTAAGAAAGGGATGTTAAGTGAGAAAAACGGCCGTGGAGAGGGGGGGAAAGGTGGAGGTGGTAATGGTAGTGGAGGAGGGGGGTGGGTTGTTATGTTGAACGGCGGTTGGAGGTGGTGGTAGTACCTGAAGAGGGCGCGCGACCGTGGGAGGGGGATGGGATGCAAGGAGAGAAAGGCTGAGGATGAATTGGCAAGTCCCAACGGCTCGTTGACGTAGAAAAGGTGTTCGCAGGTGGGCTACGTCAACGAAGCACCGGCGCTGGCGAAGCAAAAACGGGGCGAAGAGGGGGGGGAAGAGAGAGGAAGAGAGAGGAGGAGGAGGGGGGAAAGGATGGTAGTAAAGAATGAAAAGAAAGATAGGCGATGCAAAGTGAAGAAGCAGAAGAAGAATAATAATAATACCAAAGGAAGGACGGGAAAAATCAAAATCAAAAAAATGGTGGTAGTAATTAGGAACAGTAATAATAACAACAGCACTAAAATGAATGAAAGGAGAGTGAGAGGGAAGGGGAGATTACTTCTGGCTGGCGGTTTGGATTAGTTTGGCTTAGTTGGTTTGCCGGTCCGTGTCATCGCCTTTTTTTGGTAGATTTGATTATTTTGGGGCCCGGCTTTTACTTTTTGACTTTACTTTACTTTACTTAGCTCTTACCACCACCACTTGGATTTCCGGGTTGGGCTGTGGGAGTTGTGGTTTGGTACCACTGGAAAAAAGGGGGGGGGAGGAGGGAAGGAAGGGAAAAATGCACGGCAGGGGAAAAACGAGGCACACCAAAGCAGAGGGGGGAAAAGGCAGGAAGCACGCGGGAAAAGCAAAGGAAAAGGCCGTGGCTACAATGCCAACCACCCCATGACAAGGCCATAAACCACACGCACCGGGTAGAGGTGGGCCCCCTTCCACTTTGCCCCACCTCTTGCCGTACGGTATTGTACCTTGGTTGCCGTATCTTCACCTCGCATCCTCATTAGCCCAATTGCACATTTGCTCACTCACTGACGACAAATGCCCGCAACAACCTGGGGTTGAGCATGTTCTAGGTCTTTGCTATTTGATACTGGAGTTGCTGTCGTTGCTGTCGTTGCGTGTCACCGGTTCTGGACTCTCTGCCTACACCTCATGCACTACAAGTCATTACATCCCGGCTAATATGTATGAGTGTATTTACTAATGGCCGAATGAATGAATGGATAGTGTGAACGGACAGTATGTGCGTGTCTAGCCGGAGGAACGTCCCAATGGAGAAGGCATGTACGCATGCCGTCCTGGTCGAACCCCCCATCAAAAGGTACACTGGTACACTAGATGCCAAACGATCAATAGTATACGGAGAAGAGAGCTTATTTGGGTACTGACCATGGCCGCGCTCCGTCTAAAGTGCAGTATCTATCTACAACGGCGCACATCAAGACCAACTCCGAGCTCGCTACCGCTGGAACTATTGAGAACACCCTCACCCCGAGTGGTTCAGGCCATAGATCGCATGATATGCAGTGGACAGGACTCTTCTTTGGGGAGTCTAGACGTTGAAAGAGGGGTAGCATGGTGTATTTCGATCGACATACTAGGGTCTCGTCAACCGAACAGATATGGAGCACAAGGTGTCAATCAGGTATCTCCTCTTCACAGATCGGGAACTCCTCCGCGCACTTTGTGTGCAGTGTAAAGCAGAACATGGCAGGGTATACTACATGTAGGCTGCGGGGCTGTCATATGCCCTGGCAGTTTGCTCGAGGCTGGGTTGATGCCGCAGCATGCAGAAGGTGCATAGAATCAGGAAGACGACACAGCCCGGCAGTTGCACTACCTCACGGAGCCAGAGAACGATTGGTGGCGATGTTGACAAAGTGTCCAATCATTCCGGGATGTCGCAGGGGAATGGGAAGGAAATTAACCCATCAAAGTCGGCTCGTATGGGGAGATAATGATCGCGGTTTAAGGAATGGGGAAGATTGATGCTTAAACTTGAAGTGGGATCCTCAAAATTCAGGCATGTCACGGAGGATTCAAGAATACATACTTGACTTGACTTTACTCACACACTGGACAGGTAGCACAGCGTAAAGTGGCCGGTGAGAGTGGCCAGGGACAATTGCCGATCAGCAGTGGTACGGCGCGCATCGTAATTCCCGCCTCGCACGCCAGCCTCTTCTGCAAAGGGCATAATTCCGTCAAGGTTCGGACCACCACAAGGCCTAGACTGACGGCGTCGTTTTAGTGTGGGTGGTTCCTGGATGGATGTGGGGATAGCCCCGGTGCGTGGTGATACGGGCAACACAAGTGCTGCAGCCTGCTCGACGGGCTGGCAACTGAGCAAAAACAACTCCAGGCAAGGATCATCAAGAGAGAAAGAGAGAGAAAATCGCATGGCTTGGTTCGGTTCGAACAGGCGAGCAAAAGGGATTTTTTTTTTTCGTAACTTGGATCGGAGGAATGTGATAAGCATGGGGTTATGCACCTGCCAGCCAAGATAATGCGGTCGGGTGCATTCCCTCCTCCTTGAGAAGGAAAGCCGTGTTTCTTTCCTCTCTGCCTAACATTACAAACACCAGCAAAGAAATAAAAAATCCAAGAAAATAAAACAAAAAAGTAAGATTATTGATGCCCCTTCCCCTCCCGCCCGCCGGGTTGAGTCAGTCACAATGATGGCCATCCACCCCCGGCTGTCTCACCATCCCTTCTTAACCCCAAAGCATCCAATACCATCCGTGCCTCGTACGGAGCCACTACGTATGCGCACCCGTCCCATCCATTCTACCGGTATGCAACAGGCCTTACTATTCAAGATGAGATACCTGTCAAGCTCCATGACATGTGTATGTGGTGTGCTAATATGCTGGTAGCACTGCATCTTGGGAAATTCTAGTTGCTGCCTTCAAGACAATCCTCTTCCATTCAGAAGCTAGTGGCGGACACTATTGACCTCAGGTCCTTTCGAGAACGTGCTCCATTCCGTTAGTCCTGGGCTAATTTCTTAGCCTACACACGAAGGATGGGAGGGGGGCCCTGCTCGACACTCAGACTCCAGCAAGACCCAGCCCGGTTAACGCTGGGCGAGGAAGACGATGGAAGGCATGTTCATGTCTTACACCACGTGCATGCCCAGCGGCGCCAACCGTCACAAGCAGGGAAAAATAAGAGTTGTACGTACTATCTTCTTCTTCTAACCCGCCAGTCGGTGCTGGTTTTTTTTTGACAGCGCGGCAATCATCGATCTTTTTCTCCCTGACATGATTGGAATGTCAGAAATGCAGGAGAGTCGCTCACAGCCCCTGCTGGGGGGCCGCCGTCAGGGCTGAAACAATGGCTCTTTCCATCCCTTCGGTCTCAGAATTGCCACGAACAGAGTCGTACAAAAATTCCACAGATCGCGTATTGGCTGAGACTCTTGGTACCCAAGGCCAGCACAGTCAGAAAGGATTTGCAGGAGCGCCCCATGGTCATTGCTTCTTCGAGTGTTGGATCTCACGAACAGCATGGCCTAGGGCGATGTGCGACTCTAGAAGGCTGACGGTCAGAACTGCTTCAGCAGCATATGCAGATCGGGAAAGTCAAAGCTTCGATAAGACCCAAATCCAGATGGGTTCCTCTGTAATACTTAGGAGTTGGATCGTCGTTCGCCTGAGTTGAGTAGAGACGGTGGACATTTGGTGATACTACTAAGAAAGCTAGCACCCACGGAACTCCGTCCAGCAGTGGCACCATTGTTCGCGTTGCTATTTTAATCTTGTAGGCTGAGTCCATTCAAAGAGCGTCTTCGAGTCTAAGCCTTGGACGGACGTAAGACCACACACTGACCATTTTCACTAGGCTATTGTATCTTGAGGACCTCTACCGCAAGGCCCATCACACATATCTCCATCCTGATACCATTATATCATATGCTAAATGCGACCAGTTCCTGGGACGGGGGATATGACCCTGAATCTAATGAACCATGGACAAAAGCTGCCAACGATCCAAGGACTGGGAAATTACTTCAAACCGGCACTAAACCTGTTCCTGACTTCTGCCCCACCGTGGCCCTTGGTTCCATTGGTTGGTGGTCGGCTCTTGGCGCGTGCATTGCCCCCATGCGGACTAGCCTCGCCCATTTTGAGGCCAGCGATTCCCTCCATCTCCAGCAGATCCAATCCTGGAGACAGTCACGATGTTCGGATCAGAGCCTGAAAAAAGGTCGACCAGTTCAGTAGTTGCAGTGGACTATCCCTGAACTGTTCCAACTGCAAATCCTGACAATTCAGCTTCCTACCAGCTTATACGAAAGGCCACTCTGAGATGGAGAACTATGCTAATAATAGCGGATCAGTTCTTCTTATTTGACCCATGACCCGTTTGAGCTGAATCTGTGCTTTTACCGACCCAGCCGATCTGAGACACAATGGTTCGCTTAGCTACGATAGAGGATCCAACATAGAGCACGGAGGTCGGAGTAAATAGCACGAATGATCTTCTCGCATCAGCCATCTGAGCTGCATCCGACAGCCGGTGTCGCATTAGACATAACTAAGCCCAGCTGCCGCTCGAATCCATGCATAAAGCCACCGTTGGCATTCCGATACCTAGCATTAGAAATCGGGCTTGTCGACGCATAGGCTATTCATACCAGGCTCGCCGGTCTATCCGTTGTCTACAGCCAAGATGCAGAGTATATGCACATAAGCAATGTTTGTCTGCATTTGTCCGGTTATGTACTCGCATAGCATCACAGTCATATCCAGGAACCTGCTTCTTTGCTTGCTTCTCACAGACGAGAACCCCGACTTGGCACGCTGCTCACCACCCCAGCACACTCAATCTCCACATCAGTCCCCAGTGGCAATGTCTTGACCGCAACGCATGTACGAGCCTTGGTTCGTCAGTAAGTATGTGACTCTGCCCAGGGGCAATCAGGCGAAACGCACCGGCTTCGGATCCGCGAAAAAGGAACTATAGACTTCATTGATAGCGGCAAAGTCATTCATATCAGCCAGGAATATGTTGACTTTCACGGCATCCTGAAGACTAGAGCCGCCTGCTTCAAGGACGGCACTCAGGTTGTTGAGGATTTGTTTCTGGACCTCGTTAGCTGAGTAGCTTTAGGCACACCCTTGGTTAGGGATATTTATTTGGGTTATGTAGGAATGAATGATGTACCGTTCTTTCTTGGATTGATCCCTCAATCATCTTGCCTGTAGCAGGGTTCACGCCCACCTGCCCAGAGCAGTAGACCATGTCGCCGACGACGATGCCCTGGGAGAGGAATGGCGGTGGGAGAGGGGCCTTTTGGGTGCGGATGGGGATTCTGGTTGCTTTGGACATTGTGAATTCGGTAGATGATGTAATTTTCACTTTCTGGCAGTTGATATGATCTATATTGATTCCTCGAAAGGCAGTAATGCTTCGATAAATATACCTGGAGAAGGGCGAAGGTTGATGATAAGCGGGGAAGTTGGAGGAGTCGCGCTTATCATGAGTTGTGACCCACCGTGATGTGACTAAGAATGCTGGCGATAATGAGGAGATCGTGCACACCATAGAGATGAAACCCTATGACAATCATGGATATTTGGGTATAGACTCTTGATTGCTGATACTATGAATAACATTGATACGTACTAATTCGGTTAGGAAGAGTTGTTATTAGATCTGGCAGTACCAAACGGTTAAACCAACTGATAACCGTGCCACAACTATATATCTTCTTCACAACCGCCAATGTTGCTCGCTGGGAACAACACCGCAACCCTAGATTTCGTGCTCTGAAGCACATCACGCAAACACCATTTAGCTCGAGAGAACCTCATTAATATAGTTCACTTCTGTAAATCTAACACAATGACACTCTCCTCCAGCTGCATTCCAACACCACATTCACAGTTCTCGTGCAACGCAACCACGAACTTCCTCATCTTCAAACATCATAAACGGATCAGTCTCCGCCAGATGTCTCCGCATTAGCAGATATCACAACCAGTGCACGCAGATTCACTCTCCTAACACAAGATGGCCTTTGCCACGACGACTCAACACGTCCACAACTCATCTTTTGAATGCACTCTGTGCTGGTAGATGCAGACACGTCCCTATCCTTCTTCCCATCCTCATTTTCCTTCTATATGCATTCGTGAACCACCGCAATCATGGATCCCAGGGGGATGCGGAAGAAGGTGGCCGAAGCGGCTGCGCGTCTCAGACTCTCCAAAGCCAGGAGGGACCTCGCGAAGCTGAAAGCTGCGAAAAAGATGATTGAAGAGGAGCGAGCAGAAGCAGCTGCAGAAGAAAGAGCTGCCGCGGAATTTGACAATACTGAATACATCAGATGGCCAGCCTTCAGAGTCATGGAAACGATCCCAGAGGTTTCTGAGACAAAATCCGTTGATATCCAAGTCCACGGCATGAAAGCCAGGGTTTATCTAAGCCGTCCTGACGAAGATATCGTGCCTCTGCGATACCTCAAGAGAGCAGACAAAGATAGTGAGTCTATATACCCACCAGAGCGCATCCAACACTATCCATATCTTGGCACATAGGTAAAACAACTCAGAAGGAGCAAAGCTAACTCAAGTCTAGAGATCGTCCATCGCGCTGTCTGGATCTTCCGCAACGCCAGAAATGGACGTCGAGTCAATCAGAATAAATGGCCTACCCTCGAGACCATTTTCTTCGACGTCTTCCGTAACCTTAAGGATTCTCCTCAGTGGGATAAAGGTCTCTTCGAGGACGAGGCAGGAAGTGCTGCAACCTGTCCAACCAACCTTGACTTCAGACAAGCACGTTACAACCAAGACAACGTACTTCATGCTCTCATATCCGAGCTGTTCTTCAATGTGGATGTCATGCACCCGACTTCAAAACCTATGCTTTGGTTCCACCTCTAGTACGTAACAACATCAACCCTAACAGACCCTACACAGCAACGATACACTAACCTCATCACCTCCCATCCAACCAGCCCCAAAGTCATGGGAGAATACCTCGAATATTGGACCGGCTACAAAGAGAAACGTCAAGACGGACCCTGTACCTCCGGCCGCGTCGTCGTTGATTATTACCCCGATGCTATGTACGCACGCACCGTCCTGCCAATGACAACTGTATAGTCTCCCCCCCTCAACCCTCCTATTCCATCTCCCCAAAAGACCTTCCAACCCACTAACACGACCCCTTAGACTCTAACCGACAACCAACCACTCCACAAAACCCTCTCCCAAAACTTCCAACTGCACCTCGGCCAACTCCTAACCAACCTGCACCACATGCACATCCACCGCCACCACCTCCCCGACCAAGAGGTCTTCCTCATCAACCTTCACGGCAGCAGACTTCACGTCCAACGCGCCATATTCCCCAGTTCCAAGATCTCACGCATCTACTGCAAAAAGTACAAGCCCGTCGACACTTCCAACACCGAACTGCACACCTTCCGCGCCGGAGACGCCACTCGTCGCTACACCGAGCAAGATCTCGAGCACGATATCGATCAACTCGATTGGCTACACACTCTCAAAGAGGAGAGAAATGAAGCTCCGGACGAAGATGACGCTCCCGTGTTCCGCATGCTCGCTAGCAAGGAGTATGATCTCTGGAAAAAGAGTGATTGGCATGCCGCGTTGAAGTTGTTGGCTGGCCTCAATCGTTATTTGATGGGCGGCCGCGCTAAGTGTGGTGTCATGCAGAATATGTTTGAGAAGTTTCCGCTAGAGGAGTCGCAGCCTGCGGAGTCGTCGTCTGCGGCTAGGCGCTGAGGGGGTGAGGGATGGATGGTGGCTTTTGTGCTGCTAGTGCGATAGGCGTTGGGGACGTGACGTGACGTGTTCTCCTCTCGTCTTAACTTTTCTTTTCGGTACTCTCTTGCTTTCTTCATGGCTTGCACTTTGCTTGGCCTTTGCTTTGCTCTTCGTTGGGCCTTTGCTTACACTTGGCTTGCACCTTGGCTTTGCATAGATTTGACTTTGCTTTGTCCTTGCTTGCACCTTGCTTTGCATTCACTTTGCATTTACTTAGCCTTTGCTCGCACGTTGCCTAGCCTTTGCTTTGTTTTTACTTTGTCTTTGCTAGCTATTTGTCTTCGTTTTGCTTTCTTGTCTTTTGCTCATACAAAATTGATGTACCCATAGCATAGCGGGAAGATGGCGTTAATGGAGCAGATAGCGTAGCCTAGTTTTCAATGGAAAATGTAACTCTAACTACAGAGAGGAGACGCACTACATAGTACATACTCGTCATTGTCATGGCAAAAGTCACCTCGAATAGTCATACAGTTTTGTACGAAGACGTCCAAATTTAGTCTCCATGACGCCGCTCAGACTCAAAGGCCGTAAAAGCATCAATACCCCGGCCATCCTGTCCTCCCGTGCGGAAGTATTCGACAACAACACCTATGGCGTAGCATGTTCCTGCGGTAGCTACGCCACTGAACAGCATCCTGCGTAGAGCCTGGCCAGCTCTTGATTGGCGTTTCGAAGAAGAGCCCTTGGCCCGTGAAGTCTCGTCTGGAAATTCGATCTGATGATCAGGAGCTTGGCTGGAGAAATGCTCCTGCGGTATCTGGGTAGGTGATGTAGATTGTTTCAGAGTTTCACTGCTTCGGACATCGGGGCTAGCTTCAATTTTGTCCGCTGCTTTGGAAGGGAGAGCGGAATTATCATGCACCGAACTGCTGGATTTTCTGAATACAAGAATATCCCCACCACCGGAAACAATTTCGTAACCATCGATACGCATTCTCGCAAAATGGGTTAGGAACTTGGCAGGGGCATTCAGGCGACCTAGAATTTCTGCCGGGTGGATTGTCTCGTCTGAAGCCTGGAAAGACGAGCTCGTCTCCGCCTCGTTTACTTGAAGGGTCGAGGGATCATATGCAAGGACTCTATAGGTTTCACTTGACGGGCTGCCAGCGAGCGGCTGCTCAATGGTAGTAGTTTGATCGAAGTTCTTGGTAGCTTCCTGCTTTCCAGACTGGAGTACCTGTGAAGCTTCCCAACTTTCTGCAGTTTGTTGATTGGGCTGTACACCAACGTCTGATTTCTCTGGCATGATGGCCTCGTCAGATGCGCCGACAGTCTCATGCTTTTGAAACTTGCTTCGAACGCTCTGGGCGTCAATGTCACCAGCGGGATCGACAAATGAATCGAACCTATCGTCGAGAGATTGACGGATCTGCTTCTCAATCTCAGGGTCAATACTAGGCTTAGCCAAGTATTGTGAACGAATATCACTGGCATTCAGGATGTCTAAATCCTCCTCCCTCTCTGCTTGCACCCTGTCTTGTTCGTGTGCTGTACTTAGAGGGCTTTCAGGCACCTCTAGAGATCTCATCGAAGCCTCATTGCTTGGTTGATCTCCAAACGAACGACTTTTGACTGGCGCTTCTAGGTGAT